AACTTACTTTTGCTCTACCCTGTATAAGACTCCCTGTTAAATATTAAATGTGGATTTCAGATAATCAAGGAATACATTTTTAGTAGAAGCATGTTTCTAATATTGTAGAGGGCAACAAAAAAATTACTTGGTTTTTTATCTGAAATTTGAATTTAAATAGGCCCTATGCATTTTCATTTGCTAAATTTGGCAGCCCTTGTTAGGGTAACTGAAACAATTTGAATAATTTGGGTCAGAAGGTCAGATTGATCAGTAACAGTAGTATTGGGACAATTAGTTAAAGATTTGGAGAAAAAAATAAAGTTAAAACTTAACTAAATGCAACATGATATTCTAAATTATATCCTTAAACAAAAAAAAAGACAGTGAAAAAAAATGGTGAAATTCTAATAAAGACAAGATTTACTTAATATAATATACAGTGTTAATACTTTTTATTCTTTTAATATATACTAGTATTTTTATTGATTTCAGAGAGGAAGGGAGAAGGAGAGAGAGATAGAAACATCAATGATAAGAGAGAATCATTGATCGGCTGCCTTTTCCACACCTCCCTACTGGGGATCAAGTCTGCACATGTGCCCTGACCAAGAATTGAACCGTGACCTCCTGGTTCATAGGTCGATGCTCAACCACTGAGCCATGCTGGCTGGGCTAATCTTTTTGATTTTGACAAATGTACCAAGGTGTTAACATTGGATGAAGGGTATACAGGAACTCTTAATATTTTTGTATCTTTTCAGCAAATCAAATTATTTCAAATATAAAAGTTTATTTTTAAAAACCTATCTTATAACAAGAAAAGTTCTAGAAGAATTCAAAAGATAAATGTAAAAATGGAATTATAAAAGTTCTAGGAATGTATATTAAATGTAAATATACTATATCAGCGGGAAAATATAATGTTACTAACTAGAGGCCCGGTGCACGAAATTCGTGCACTGGGAGAGGGTAGGTGGGTGGCAGGGTGGGGGGGGGGTGGCCCTCAGTCCAGCCTGTGCCCCCTCGAAGTCCGGGAGCCCTCGGGGGATGTCTGACTGACAGCTTAGTGCCATCAGACATCCTTAGCACTGCTGCATATGTGGGAGAGGCTCCCACTACCACTGCTGTGCTCACTAGCTGTGAACCCGGCTTCTTGCTCAGTGGGAGTGCACTGACCACCAGGGGGCAGCCTCCTGCATTGAGCATCTGCCCCTTGGTGGTCAGTGTACATCATAGTGACTGGTTGTTCCACTGTTAGGTCTATTTGCATATTAGCCTTTTATTATATAGGATGATAACATCAAATGTAGAATGTAATGTGTAAATATCAAAAGATTTTGCCACTTAAAAAGTATACCTTTGACAATAAGCTTCTCAGAAACAAAATTTAAAGATAAATTATGGGTTGGGAAAATATTTGTAGTTTATCTGACAAGACACTAACCATCTGGAAAACAAAGAACTTTGGATTTATCTTTCATATCATTTGATGATTAATCATGATTACTATATCCATGCAGGAAATTTATGGCTATAATTTATGTCGCTGGAAGCTTGCCATAGTTTCTCTAGGAGTGGTTTGCACCGGTGGCTTTCTCCTGCTCCTCCTCTATTGGATGCCTGAGTGGCGGGTGAAGGCAACCTGTATTAGAACTGCAATTAAAGACTGTGAAGTGGTGCTGCTGAGGACTACTGTAAGTCCATGGATTTACTTGTACTGTAGCTGATTATTTGAGGAGTAAAAGAATGTCTTTGTGTGTACTTTGTTGAAAATAATATATGAAGAGAACATCACTGTAAGATATAATGAGGAATACTAATCCTATTATTTCTAAAGCACCTGTGTTTGAAGTGAATTTTATCAGAGCAATTAGAGTATAAAGAATCTTAAAGATGATCAAATCCTACCCTTCCTTTTAAGCTCTTGATGCACTGAGAGATTATATGCTGTCATATAATCTCTCAGTCACTGAGGTCACTGGACAGTTAGAACTATAGGATCTCTCATTCACCAAACAAGTTGCTTCTACTATGTGATGCTGTTACATCTCAGGGTGTTGTGTTTATTTGTTGTTTAATGATCCTACCTGGAAGTATTTTATAAGATGCATTAATATCTAGTCTGAGTATGTTGGGTAAATTAAGAAAGTACTCATGAACTTTTATGGGATATTGTGTTAGTGAAGTATGCCATTTAAATGGTAAGCAGGGGAAAGCACTTCACATTTAAATTTATGCATCTTTATGAAATGGTTAAGTCAGTAGGAAGTGATGCTTTCTCAGTTAGAGATGAGTAAATAATATTGTAAAGAATGGAAATCAAATAAAAATGTAGACAGTTGTATAATATACATAATTGACTCTTTACCTTTCTCTCTTGTAAGGATGAATTCAAAACATGGTTTTGTGCAAAAATTCGCTTGCTTTCTTTGAAAACTCATCCATTTTCGAGTCCAAAATCTGTGGCTAATAAGGTTTCAAATGGCCATGCTGTTCTTTTAACTGAAAATTTGGCCGAAGAGAACAGGCATGAGATAAGTAAATATTCACAGACACAATCAGAACAGGTACTGTAATCTTAGTTTCAAGATTTCTTTAAGAATCAGAATTGTTACATGTTATGCTATCATGGATAGTATATAATTTTGTGTTTGCAGTTATTTTTGAGATAAATGTATATGCATATAAAATGCCTGTTTATCACTGTATTGTAACAGTTCAGGTATTATTAAAAGAAACAGATTACATTTACATGTCACATGTGATCACTTTAAATTTAATATGTTGTTAGATGATAGATTTGTGTTAGTAAATGTAATTGAAAACAAGTGATGATAATGCTTTTTGATGTAACATTTATGTGTTTTACAGATTCGTTACTTTACCCACCATAGTGTAAAATATTTCTGGAATGATACTCTTCACAATTTTGATTTCTTAAAGTAAGTGATTTTTTTTTGTTTAGATTATATTATGAGTATATTAAAAATGTTCTAGATAGAAAAGAATTCATTCTAATGTTACATAAAATTGAATAGGTTTTTATTGAAGAACTTTTATTCACTTTTTCTTTAGCAACTTCCAGTGTTATTTGAATACTGATGAACCATTTTAGAATGAAATGTCACTTGCAACCTGTATCGTGGCAAAATTTACATAAAAGTTAGAAAAGTAGTATGATCCTAAAATCCACTGAGTCTGAGTTCTTTTCTTTTTGAGGGTTCATCTCAAAGTGAACTTTGAGTATACCTATCTGAACTGTGAACTCCCAATATGCTCCTAGTTCTACCCACTTGTATATACTTGAGGGATGAAGAGATAGATGGAAATTTAACTTCACTATGTGAATAAAGATGGGATATTGTCAAATGTGTTAAACCTTGGGTAGGACAAATTGGTGTAATCTCTTAAAATTTATCACTGGATAAATTTTTATGGAGGCTTCAAGTTATATAAGTACTAATTAATTAGGATTCTATTTTTGTTGCTTTTGTTAAAGCAATTATTATAAACATTCAAGTATCATTGCTTGAGAGTGCTAAAGGAATTCTTAATATTAGCAATACAAAGAGAATCACCTTATGAGCATTTAAAATATTCATGCCTGGATTTTCCCCCCTGACACTAAAGAATTAGAATATTCTGGAATGGACCAGGGCATTTCCACATGCCTAGTTGTGAAGACCATTCCTAGTTAAGAACCATTGCCTTACAGAATACTGCCAATGAGCTGGTGTTTTGGTTTTTTAAAAAAATTGACTTGGAGCTCATTGCTGCTGCCTTTGGAGAAGTCATCAACTTCAGTGGGAAAAAAGCATCAAACATATTGCTGTGCAGCATTTGCCAACCATAAAAACTTGTAGAATTTATGGTAACAGTTACTTACGGAACTTAATTTTCCTATCTGACAAAAGTGGAAAAGGATTGGAGTTAAATGATATATAAGATTCTCTTCAGAGTTCTATTATTAGTATCTCAGTTAATTCTAGAATCTCAGTATAATTAAGACATTTTTGGAGAGAAAGTAGATAGGTTAATTAATCCCAGTTAGAATTGTTACAGATTTTAGACATTGCCCGTGACTCATAAATTTTGTACTCTCTATGTATTAGATCAGGGAAGGATTTTGGTGAATGCTTTTATAGAAAGAAAATAAATGAATAGGATTTCTTATTGTGAAGCTTAAAGAATTAAAGAGGAGGAACTAAATAAAAAGTAAAACATTTTTTTTTTAGTTTGGAATTCTCAAACTATCATACTCTACTTTTAATTTTATTAGTTTAGTTATTAGCTCTTACAGCTTTGGTGCACAGCCTTAAAGGATAATAATATTATTATATAAACATGAGTATTTAAAGCCATCTTATCATGTGATAGATACATTGTATAACTTAGAAGTTGCCACTTTTGAGATTTACAACTTTCACTATTGTTTACCTTGGGAATTTTAGATTTTAAAATTTCCATTCATTATCTCATTTTTTGTTAAGGATTTCTGTTTGTAAGGAAGTCACACTTTAAAATCAGAATATAGAAAAATGAGGCATTAAGACATTTGGATATTTTAAACTTTGTTTAAAGTAAAAACTTTGGATTTATTTAGGGGACTGGATGAAGGTGTTTCTTGTACGTCAATTTATGAAAAGCATAGTGCAGGACTGACAAAGGGGATGCATGCCTACAGGTAATTTTTATCCAACTAAAGTCAGATCTATTATCAAAATTCCTAAATACAGTAGTATGTATAGTTTACCCTTTCACCATATAGTTGTACATATTAACAGATATTTAAATATTATAGACATAGTACTTGACAACTTATTGATGTTTTATTTGGGTAAGACTTTCTCTCAATTTAAGAATTATAAAAATATTGGAGCTGATACTATGAAGTTGATATCCCTGAAAATATACCATATTTCATCAATTCTAAGGTATAAATTTCCCCACATTTTAACATTTCTAAAAGGGGAATGTGTTATACAGTGGATGGAGAGTCATCCTTTATCTTTCTTAATTGTACATACAATAATGGGTATATCTTATAATTGATAACATCTTGGATTTTACTGCTATAGGGAATTATAAGCATGAGCTCAAATTTACTACAGTGAAAATTTGTAAATTGGGAGACAATCTTTTTTATCATGTTATTATCTGCTAAAGTATAAAATTATATTGATGTATTGCATATTTAAAGATAAGTGCCATTTTCAAATTAAGTTAGAAATTTTCTTATACGCCTGTAGCATCTCTTTTCAAAGTGTTAGAATATACTAGTAAAAGAGTCTCTTCGTTTAGACTTATACTTCTTAAAAGGCCAGAATTACTCTATCATATAGAAAGCACTATGATAAGGAATTTAAGCAGAAGGATTTAAGCAGCTTTTCTTTTTTGTTGTTAATCCTCACGAGAGGATATTTTTTCCATTGATTTTTTTTGGGGGGCGGGGGGTAGAGAGAGAAGAGAAGAGAAACATATCAGCCTGGACGGGCTGGGGATTGAATCTGCAACCCAGGTGCAAGCCCTTGACCAGGCCAGTGATGCTCTAACCCAGCCGTGGGCAAACTATGGCCTGCGGGCCGGATCCAGCCCGTTTGAAATGAATAAAGCTAAAAAAAAAAAAAAAAGACCGTACCCTTTTATGTAATGATGTTTACTTTTAATTTATATTAGTTCACATAGACACTCCATCCATGCTTTTGTTCCGGCCCTCCGGTCCAGTTTAAGAACCCATTGTGGCCCTCGAGTCATAAAGTTTGCCCACCCCTACAGTCTAACCACTGAGTAACACTGGCCAGGGCCAAGCAACTTTTTAAAAGTATTTTTTAAAAAATGTCAAGTGTACAATGTTTTGAAATGAATATTTATAGATAGATAGATAGATAGATAGATAGATTTCAGAGAGGAAGGGAGAGGGAGAGAGAGTTAGAAACGTCAATGATGAAAGAGAATCATTGATTGGCTGCCTCCTGTATGCCTCACACTGGGGATTGAGCCCGGAATCCAGGTATGTGCCCTGACTGGGAATGGAACTGTGACCTCCTGGTTCATAGGTCAATGCTCAACCACTGAGCCAGCTGGGCTCCAGTATTCTTTTATTTTGTTTTGTTAATCCTCACCTGAGGATATTTTTCCCATTGATTTTTTTTTTAAGGCTGAATGAAAGAGAGGGGGAGAGACACAGAGAGAGAAACATTGATGTGTGAGAGACACATTGACTGGTTGCCTCCTGCACACACCCCAATGAGGGCTGGAGATCAAGCTTGCAACTGAGGTACGTGCCTTTGACTGGAATTGAACCTGAGACCTTTCAGTGGGCAGGCCGATGCTCTAACCACTGAACAGAATTGTTTAGGGCTTAGTACAATATATATAAAGGGTATCCCAAAATTCATGCAAGAAGTAATTTTGATAGAAAACAGGTATCTAATTAAAAATTGTAAACTTTTTATTGTTTCATAAAAATTTCAACAAAAGAGTGCGTATGTGCCAGCAAAGCCGTGGAGGCCATTTACCCGATATGCTATTCCATACATAACCCTATACTGTATACTTTATGAATCAATGAAAAATTTACAATTTTTAATTATAAACCTGTGTTTTCTATCAGAATTATTTCTTGTATGAATTTCGGGACACCATTTATATATGTCTATAGTATATGTGTGTGTGTGTGTGTGTGTATTTTTTTTTCTTTTTTTTTAGATATATTTTTATTGATTTCAGAGAAGAAGGGAGAGGGAGATAGGAACATCAATGATGAGAGAGAATCATTGATCAGCTGCCTCCTGCATGCCCTCCACTGGGGTCGAGCCATTAACTCAGGCATGTGCCCTTGGCTGGAATCTAACCCGGAACTCTTTAGTCCACAGACCAATGCTGTATTCACTGAGCCAAACCAACTAGGGCAAAGTACAATATTCTTATTAGAAAAATATTAGCAGGTCTCTTAAATTTATTTATCTAAGCTTTTGGAAAAATTAATTGCAATTCAAAATTGTTCAGACCTATTGTGTTCAAGAATGGAAAAGAAAACCTTTGCTGACATAATTATTATAGACTAGTTGGAAAGATATTTGTCACACAAAAAGATATGAGATAGAATGAATCAAAATGATAGCTGTATAGTTATCCAGTATTAACTACTTAATTTAAATACTAAAGGTAGAGAATTTGAATTGTACAAGACAAGTATATAGAAACATGAATGTGTAAGTTCTAGATTTAGGAGCAGTCTGTGGTTTGAGCTTTATGTAATGAAGTAACTTCCCAAAATTACACTATTATTATGTAATGTAATATACTATTATTATATTTTCTTGTCATAGAAAATTGCTTTATGGAATAAATGAAATTTCTGTGAAAGTGCCTTCTGTTTTTAAGCTTCTAATTAAGGAGGTAAGACTATTATTGTACATGTCTCAATATTTGTAATCAGTAGATTTGTCAATTTGAAAAGAGCTATGATCTAAGTAATAAGACATTCTTAATTTTCTGTTTTCAAACTTTTACTAGTGGCCTGGTGCACAGATTCGTGCATATTGAAAGGAAATTAATTAGAAGAGATATTGTAATATCACTGTTCGCTCTTTGTCTATAATAGAAGTGTCAGACATGAAAGAAAATTAGTAAAATGTATATGAAAATAATATATAAATTGATTAATAAATAATCACAACATCATATAACAACAAAGACATGATATAAAAACAAAAAAGATATAAAAAATGATATAAAAACAAGTGATAAAAACAATGACTGATAAATTGATTAAACTTATTTTAATATCTCCCTTTATACCACATTAAGAGTAAAAACACTTTCAGAGTGCTTGACTAATTTCCCGTGTGGTGAAATATTTACAACTTTAATGTCACATGCTCTTTGAACTCAAGAGAAAGCAACATATAGCTGACCATGTCCGAAAATGGGTTCAGGTAGGAATATTCCTACTTTGTCTAGAGTTTGTCCTTGTGATTTATTAATAGGCATCGCAAATGCTGGCATCATGGGAAACTGTCTTCGAATTAAATTAAATGGGAAGCCAGTGTCAGATGTGGACAAATCAATTCTTGGAATCAGAACAACCTCTCCCTCTTCAGATCCTGTTAATACTTCAGCTTTGATTATGTTAGGTCACAACCTTTTGATAATAAATCTAGTACCATTACAAAGACCCCTTTTGCTATTAAGATTTCTCAGTAGCATGATTGCACCTACTTTCAATTTTAATTTATGACATAGAATTCCCGAAGGAGTAATACTATTAAGAAGTTCGATGGGAAAATTTTCCTTTTCAGCATCATCCGTTGAATCAATGGAATCATCACTCAAATAAGTGTGAAAATATCCATCGAGTCTATCCAAAATTTCTTCATTTAATTTATGAACGTGCTCGTTTTTTGGACAAAGAATCACACGTTTAGATATATTTTTAATATTATCTATAGATATACTGTTTTCAAAGGTAGCTTCAATAATAGACCCATTACAAATCATTTCAACAAAAACAACCACATTCACGTATTGACAATGACAGATGGAAACACACACGTGCAATTGGTGCCAGCGAGAGCTGTATATGTATCATGCATGTGCGAGTCAATGTTTATTTTTAAATTGCCAGTGCGTGTCATATGTACCGGTCGGATGGACATACAGTCGGTCACTTAGCCTTATATATATATAGATTTATTTATTTTTATTGTTTTGGTTTTTTTCCTTCCAAAAAAACCAAATAATTTAGTGTATGACTTTCCTTTTTTATTTGTCTAATTTTTTTGTTTTGTTTTTCTTTTCTGTAGATTAAATATTTTTTGTTCTCAGGAAATCACACATCTAAATCTTGCCCTATCTTATAGATATATACTCCTGCCTTTTGTTTTCTGATTATTAAACAATTTATCATGTTGAGTTTATTCATATGGCATTTTGAGGTACATTGTTGGAAACTGCTGGGGGTCTTAATCCAGCATATAGAAGGGGTTCAGGAATCTGGAAAAGGGGCTGCTGTAAATGATTAAAGAGTCTAGAGATGAAACATAATTTTGGAAGGCATTTTGGGGAGCCAGAGAAGACTTAGTTAAAGGAACCAAGTTCTCCTGAATCTCTGGACCCTTGCTCTTTATTAACACAATTTGTCCTAAGGCAAGGTAGATATGCATACGGAATCCATTGTCAGATTGGGGTAACTGCCTTCCGCTGTTCAGGTGTTTGGCCAGTAGGATGCAATAACGTAAATTGAAATGCCCTCAGCTGTCTGGCAGCAAGCAATCATCTATGCAAATCTTTAGGTGTGGGGAAATGCCCTTAGCCATCTCCAGCAGATTCAGCCTTGCTGAATCCCTAAATTCCATCAACCTTTTGATGAAACTTCTTGCATTTATGTCATGCTGGAATTAGCTTCTGGCAGAAACTAGACATTATACCAGAAGTTTGGAATATAAAACATGACCTGATGTTTATATTGAGAAGTTTGCACTTTAACCTGGGAAGAAAACATGTCAGTAGTTACTGTAGTGACTCATGAGTGGTAATTGCTATATAAGAGGTATGAATAAAGGTTATTCATATAAAGGAAGGGAATAAGATATTGTCTAGCAGTTAGACTCTCCAATCTGTCTTTTAATTTTTTGCTAAAGATCAAGTTAGCTGTATTGAGTGAATACTTTTAGTAGAAATAAAAGATTATTTTTATCAGTTTCTGAGAGTGACTATATGATGTTGCTTTAGAACATACCAAAGTATTAATGATTAGGAATTAGAAAGTCTGGTTTGTAATATGGTCCCATCAGTAACTAACTTTGATCACCAAAAAATCTTTCTCTTTGCTGCTTCTTTACTTATAAAAGTGGAGCAAGTCCTTTCTGATAATCTCATTCTGATTATCTAAATAAAAGTTAGAAAACAGAAAACTAAGAATGTCTTCTTATTATTTAAATTGTGGCTCTTTATAATTTGGAAGTTAAATGGGACTATTTATGAGAAGTGCCTTGAAAAGTACAGAACCATCAGTTTTACGACATTGGGGTAGTACATATTGCCCAAGGGTACCATAGAGCTTACTACGTGTACCGGTTAATAATGGTGGATTTTGTAATCAAAGAAAACATGATAATTTCAAGAGAAACATCAGAAGTGCTTTATTCAAAGTAATGTCCATCACTAGCTACACATTTCCCCCATTTTTCAGGTAATTTGTGGATACCATCCCAATAGAAATTTTCTTGTTTTGAGGCAAACCATTTAGTGACCCAATTTTCCACTTCTTCGTAGTTTTGAAGTGCTGCTCAGAAAGTGTGTGTGCAATTGATCGGAACAAGTTGTAATCTGAAGGAGCAAGTTCTGGTGAATATGGTGGGTGGTTTAATACTTCCCAGGCAAGATCTTTTAACGTGTCTTTAACTGGTTTTGAAGTGTGTGATGGTGCGTCATCATGAAGCAAAATTACTTTGCCGTGTCTTCTGGCCCATTCTGGTCATTTCACAATCAAAGCGTGTTTCAAATTGATTATTGTTGTTGGTAGCGATCAGTATTAACAGCTTACCTAGTTTTAGAAGCTCATAACATACCACACCTTTCTGATTTCACCAAACGCAGAGCATTGTCTTCTTTCCGAA